GGAACCCCTCAACTTAAACTCGCATAAAAGGAACAATCTAGAAGCGAAAGATATCATCCATCTCTTTATATACTTTCCTCCATTGCGTAATCAAAGAGAGAGCCTTGACCTCTACTTCATTCTCCTTTGTTCTTCGGTCTTCTCCAGTTTTAAGCAAAACCCAATCTATGGCTAAGGAACTTGCGGCTAAGGCTAAAGAGGCTTTCGTAGACGACGATTTCGATGTTGCTGTTGACTTATACTCCAAAGCCATCGACTTGGATCCTACTTGCGCTGATTTATTCTCCGACCGTGCTCAGGCCAACATCAAACTCGATAACTTCACCGGTAAGAACATGAAAGCTTCGTCTTTTATCGTCGTAGACACCTTTTGGGTTCTGGGTTTACATGTATTCGGTTCCTTGTTTCATATATAGCTCAAAGGAATTGACTTTACTTGGTTCTGTGAAGTTAGGGTTTAGTTTTGTCGCTTGTTTGTGTCATGATTCTTCTCGTAGTTCATAGATTTCGTATCAATTTGATGCCTATATGTCGCTTCGAGTGGAGAGAAATGTTTCAGAATTGCTTTCATGAGAACAAAATTGAGTGTCTTGTTCTGTTATCAGCAGTAAGTGCGTTGGTCTAAATGCGTTGGTTGATTGAGTTTGGTTATTGTACACATTCTTGGTCTAAATGTGCTAGTCTTATGATCCTTTGATTATGATGAATCTGGAGAATTTCGTTTTACAATCAGTATCTGCTTTGTATGTTACAATCAATCCTCTGCATTTTCCTTCCCATTGTTTTGGTTTACATAGTGTTATAAAACTTTACTGGTCTTGTTAGATTCTTGGGTTTGACTTGTTTCTCTCAATGAGCAGAAGCCGTGGCAGATGCGAACAAAGCAATTGAGTTGGATCCTGCCTTGACCAAAGCTTATATAAGAAAAGGGTACGGTATTGCTATTTCCTCCTATTTGTGGTTGTTAATTGTGTATACATATTTTAGTGACAGTTAAACTCAGTATCCAATTCCTTTGTTTGTCGTATTCAAAGTTTATATGGTCTACAAATTGTTGTATGGTTCTGTCAAGTTATTACTTCCCTAGTTCATATTCGGCTTTTTGTATTTGTAGAACTGCTTGTATGAAGCTTGAAGAATATCGGACTGCTAAAACAGCTCTTGAAAAGGGTGCTTCCATTGCACCGAGTGAATCCAAATTTAAGAAGTTGATAGATGAATGCGACCTTCGAATCGCAGGTATATTTGTAATGCTTGTTTTTTTTTTTTTTTAAATCTGGTTGATTAGGTTTACATTGCTATGAGTGATTGTATTGTTTTCAATGGTCTAAACATTGTGTGATATGTTATTCACTTAAGGTATTATTTTTATGAACTTTCTAATATGTTTGTTCAGAAGAAGAGAAAGATTTGGTTCAACCGGTGCCATCGACTTTGCCTTCAAGTTCTACAGTATCGGAACTTGATCTTACCCCTGCGCCTGCAGCACCAGCCAAAGCGAAGTACAGGTAGTTTCATTATATAAAACAAGGCTTTTCAAAAGTTCCCAAGTTTTAAGAACCATTAAATATCCCATACTCTTGAGTGTAGAACAGACATGAGTATTACCAAAAGCCAGAAGAAGTTGTGGTAACTATTTTCGCTAAAGGTATACCGAAGCAGAATGTAAACGTCGACTTTGGTGAACAAATTGTGAGTATACTGCAAATCTAAGAACCTACCTTGGTGATGCATCTGTGTATATTGTGTGTTAATTTCGCGGTGTTGTTCTGTGATTTGCAGCTGAGTGTTGTCATTGATGTTCCTGGAGAGGAGACTTATTATCTTCAACCAAGATTGTTCGGGAAGGTAATTTCTGTGTTGAATGAATTAGTTGTGATTTTATCAGAGGTGTCTCTATTTCAATACATTGGATGACTTTATCTCTACTTTGTATATTCAGATAATACCAGAGAAGTGCAGATATGAAGTATTGTCAACCAAAGTTGAGATCCGTCTTGCAAAAGCCGAAATAATCACATGGGCCTCCCTTGAACACGGCAAAGGGCCAGCGGTTTTACCAAAGCCCAATGTCTCATCAGGTTTTTAACCTTTTCAATATGTAGTTGTATTTGTTGAACTTTATTACAGCCTCTTGTCATGTGAGTCTTATGTTGTATGAATGATGATGCAGAGGTTTCGCAGAGACCAGCTTATCCATCCTCGAAGAAAGTGAAGGATTGGGACAAGCTGGAAGCTGAAATGAAGAAGCAGGTTTGTTCTCATCATATTCTTAAGCCACGCTCGAATCATTACTTAACATGTTTTATTGATTCTTGGTCTGTTCTTTTTGTTTAATATTGTGGTTGCCTTGCAGGAGAAGGATGAGAAGCTGGATGGAGACGCAGCTTTGAACAAATTCTTCCGTGAGATATACCAGAATGCGGACGAGGATATGAGGCGAGCAATGAGCAAATCATTTGTGAGTTATCTATATTCTCTTTGGTTTTATTATTTTT